AAAAAAAAAAAAAAAAAAAAAAAAAAAAATATGCCTGTGCCTTTGTGCCTACTGCCACTAAGGGTTCCCATTCTGACTATCTCACTTGGGGAGTACCTGCTTCTAATTACTGCATTGAGCCAGGAAGTGAACTTTTTAAATGCATAGTCTCTTGCAAGCGCACTTGACACTATTATAAAAGATGTTTAGTTAGCATAAAACAACATATAACATGATCAGTTCAGAAGTTGGTAAATGAAACTGAAAAGCTGGATTTCTAAATAATCCTACATTCTCAAGTCTTTCCATTTGAATGTCATTTTTTCCACTCTATTTTCTTCACTTCTTACCCACTTTTGAGGTCTATGGCCATATTTTATTTCCAGGGAACACAGGGAAAATGGACTTTCTACCACTGTGCTTAGGAGAGAAAGGTGAAAAGATTTATATTTTTCAACTGTGTGATAACATTTGATTGCATTTTCAAAATTCATAGCTTTTCAACCATGTCATATGTGGATGAGGATAATTGTTTAAGTTTTGACAATGAGTTGGTTACTCTTTTAGTTTCAGGAATGGAGGAATTTTTTGCTTCCAATGGAAGAGAAGACATTTTACTAATGATAAATATTGTACATTTGAATTTCCACATTTCATAATTATACATCAAAATAAAAGTTCTACTTATTATATTGTCAGGAAGAGATAATTTGAGATTACATTTAATACTAAAGACAAAAACCCACTGCATATATTATTGCAACATAATATATATGGTGAAGTAACATGATAGAATAAAAGAAATTATAACAGTTAAGTAACAAAAGTCTTGAAGAGCAATAATACTTTTCATATTAAAAATAAGGCATTCATAGATGTTGCTTCTGCATGCCAAAGTTGAAAATATGGGCATTTTGCAAACTCAAAAAGCCTAGATGAAGAAAATTAATGTTTTGTATTATTTATAATTGAATCAAAAAAGTGGTATGTGTCACCTGGTAGCTCATGTCTGTAATCCCACCACTTTGGGAGGCTGAGGTGGGCAGATCGTTTGAGATCAGGAATTTGAAACCAGCCTGGCCAACATGGTAAAACCCTGTCTCTTCTAAAAATACAAAAAAAAATTAGCTGGGCATGGTGGTGCATACCTGCAACCCCAGCTACTTGGAAGGCTTTGAGGCAGGAGAAACGCTTGAAGCCAGGAGGTGGAGGTTGCAATAAGCTGAGGTTATACCACTGCCCTCTAGCCTGGGTGACAAAGCCAGACTCCATCTCGGGAAAAAAAAAAAAAAAAAAGTGGTATGTTGTTTTGTGATAGAGGATAAAATAACAATTCTTTCTCTGAATTAGAGAAAAGACTAAACAACAATATAAAGTAGTACAAAATAACTATTTCAGAGAATTGCATTTTATTCTAA